CTTTGCGAGGAGGGCTCAGAAGAGCGCAGCAGGGTGTCGTACGATGCTCTTTGCAGAAAGACTGAATCTGCGTTAGCGACGTTTCCGAAATCTGAAATGTCAAATACTTTAAGTAAGTACTTCAAAACACAACCTTTAGACTTCAAAAGGAAAACGGAGGGGGTTCCATTTCCAAGCAAATGTGCAGCTCTCCTCTTACTGCCAGGTACAGCCCCAAACCGGCTGCTCGAGCAATGTGCAACACCCCGCTGGCCATGCGGGCCAACGTGCAGCACTGCCTTTGCTCCCCGAAAACACAAACCACTCACTTCTTATTTTCCTACATACACATAATGGGTAAGAGGGGCTTACCCAGGTCTTTCCTGAACTATACACATCACCTTTTGCAGTTTACTGTTACATATCTGGCTTCATTTTTATTTAGCAATAGTTGGGAACAGAAACACAATTTTTCAGTATGATTATACATTCTTTTAAGCTGATCCTGTTAGGTATCATGTAGCAGTAAGTAAACTTGTAAACCATGTAATCCCCTTTGAATTACCATTTTTTCCCTGCACAAAGAAATGGTGTTCCAAGCTGTTATTCAAAGCTATTCATAAAGTTTCGTACTGTATTTCTTATGTAGGTGTGCATTTAATTTATCAAGGCAGTTTGAAAACACTTGCTCCAAAACTCAATTAAAAAAAAAAAGGCCTTCATAGTCCTTATAGTTGCAATAATTACTTGGAAAATGTGAACCAGACGGCAAAAAAAAAATGGATTATTGCATACTTCTTGTGGGAGTGTTAACTTTAACTCCTCAAGACAAGCACTAGGGACATCAAAACAAAACAGAAAAACAATCAGAAAAAATACCTCTAAAAATATAAATAACAGCAAGTGTTGCTTGAGCCATACTGTTCATGTTTGCTATTCAGAGCGAGGGGCGACCGCAAGCTCCCTTTTTACTGAGAGCTGCCCTTCTAAACATCCAGGCTGGTGCTGGCTGCCTAAATAGCTCTCCTTTTGATAAGTCAAATAAGGTTTAGCAAAGGGATTTTCCAATACTCTTTAGCTGCCATTTGAAGGCTCACCTGCACTCCAGGATCCTTCTGAAACACATTCAGTTTCTGCTAAAAGGGCAGTCATGCAGGTTTCAGGCAGCATTTAAATCCCAGCTAAGCAATCCACAGACTGCAGAGAGCCCCTTTTCAAGGGCAAATGATGTGAAAAACATGATATAGTTTGTTCTGCTTTACTGAAACAAGAGACATCCTCAAGTAGAGGTATTTAAAACATTTATTAGCATTAATCATTGTAGGTTAAAAAAAAAACACACAAAAAGTACATTTTAGGCCAAAATATTATTAGGTATGATACAATTAATATGTAAAACAGAAGGTAAAGTATTAACAGATTGCGGCATCTCATACATGAAGCGAGTTGGGTCCAGCCCAGTCAAAGCCCTTATATAAAACAAAACAGAGGAGGAGCAGTTAACGTGTGGTTTTATGCTGACACTTTACCATTGACTCTGGCTTAAATAATTAAGGGTAGGATAATAAAATACATCCTTGCTGTGCTGAAAAGGTCTGATTAGGGGTCAGCGTGCTCCCTCGTACAGTCTGTCCGGTTACGCCAGTTACCACGTCCAGTGAAGGAGTATTGAAGGCAAGGGATGAAAGGTAACTCCTCTGGTAATCAACATAGCCCCGTGTTATGTTGAAGCACTTCAGATAGATCTGCTGTACCATAAACAGAAGCAATATTTTTTTCGAGTGTAATGTTAATATCCCAATTCTTGGATAACCATGGCCTTTTTTTATCTATTTCTCAGCCTGCCGGACAAACGCTTTCTGCAGTATGCCATTTCCATGCACAGGAATGGCAAGTCTACAATTGTACCTACGTGCATCTCCATCTCGTTGCTACCTTCAACCTGTAGGCCTGTGCCTCTAAGTTCCTAAGGATGAAATGCTCGTTAACAAAAGCTGTACTTACAGTATACAATATGCAGAATATGTGAACCAGACATAGTGAAAAAACACTACACGTCAGCCTAATACAAAACTGTACTTATATACAGAAACATATGCAGAGCATATATGAAAACTAGTTCCTTGGTACTTTTTAAAAAGTAACTAGCTCACGGCAAGCCAGAAGAGCCGGTCCCCGGCACCCGGACGGTCACAGTGTCCGTGTGTCTGCAGACAGGCTCCTCCAGCCAAACTCGGCACCGCAGCAGCTTCAGCTTCAGGCCTGCTCCCAGCTCCCTGGAGAAAACCCCTCTCTGCCACCAGGGCACGAGCGCTGCTGCTGCAGCAGGTCAGCGCAGGAGCCAAGTGCTCCTCCAGAGGAATTCCCTTCTCAACCAGCTGCTAGCTGCTAAAGGAACTACTGTTGCTGCTGAAACTCTTGCCTTCGAGTTCATTTTGTTGGTATCACGTCCTTTTTCCAGCTGTTTATGAAGGGCGGCAGGATTTTCCAAGCAAAAGAGGCAATAAAAGGAAGCTGAAATCATGAATTTTGTATCTGAAAAGCACAGTTTCTAGAACTAACTGTCCCCCGTTTGAAAAGGTAGTTTAAAGCTACATTTCAATTTGGCAGCCAGTGGATAGGCAGCACCACAGTCCACAGCTAGCCCTGTCCTCACAGCAAACACCCGCCTCCCTGCGCACCGCAGAGCCCAGTACTCTTTCACCTGCATTCTCAGAGGTCAGATTTCAAATTTCAAAACCTTATTCAGTCAAAATCCTTATTAATATAAAAGTTTTTCCTGGACTAAAAGCAGAATTTGGTGATTTGGCCCAACTAATATAAAAAAATTCTTTAAGCCTACTTTGCCCACATTTGAGTTTTAAAACCTGCAAGAGCACCACTAGGACCATTTCCAATTTGGGGCTTTTCAGCATGTAGCTCCTGAACACCCTCTGCTCCACACACAGCTCCACGGCAGCTGCGAGAGCTGGTTGTTCAGGACAATCATTAGTCCAGGCAGACCAGCATCTATTGCTGATCTCAAGTAGGTTTTAATATGTTTTGAGATGTCACATCTTAAAAAAATGCCATGCTTTGATTATGAAAATAAATATCAGTTACGGATAACTCCTATATATTGAACAAAAATTTGTAACATCTTTAAAAATGCTGGCTCAGATCCACCTTGTTTTGTTGGAAGCTGAGTGCCACCTTTTGCTGGGATTTATTTAAGAAGAACAAGACTTCTTGCAGCAGTGTCATCATAATCCCCATAAATTTTATGCATCTGTGCTGGTATCAGTTAGATTTTTCTTTAGTGCTGAAGATCAGATTCATCTCCTCTGCCTCACAGAGCTGCCTGGGTTCCCTCAGCAGCCGACAGAGAGGGACAGGCAGCCCTTGCAGAATCCCTTATTCTAGGAGGGGATGGAGCATCTCTCTCCTCTCTCCCCTGACAATCAACAAAGTCTACACAACTGCTGAGTTTTCGCTTGGAGAATTTAGGACTGTCTCTAAAATAAGCTTTTCAATGAAGCAGTGGTGCAGATCATAAATCAGCACAGGTAACAGAACCAAAAGTTTACCTAAAACCCCCAGTCTTGTGCTTATTCCTCTATCTTTGATTCTGTGGGTATTGTCCAAGGACAAACTTCCACATATGAGCGCTTTCCGAAGAGTCTAGAAGATCCAAGACATGGCTCGCATGTGAAAATATACTGGGTTTTAGATTCTTAGATAAGGCAAGAAGGGTCGTTTCCCCCGTGTCACTATTTCCTCAGGGGCCCTCGGAAGACAAGGAGAGGCGCCCGCTGATTTCCGCCGGCTCTGCTTCAGGCACTAAGAGTCACTTCCGTTCCACCAAAGTGATCTCACAGCGAAGCACTGCAGTCCGGCTTCACGTATAAACACGGGTGCCAAACTCCAGCCTGCCTGCACCTGATCTAAAATGGAAAGTCATTTTTCTCTTTTGCTTGCTTTTCATACAAGCTCCCTATCCAATGTACAATAAGGTCAATTTTCCTAAAATAGAACAAATTAATATTGTGGAATGCAGGCAGGTTCTGGCTGCTTTCAATTTCCAGTGGAATTGATGAAAAATAGAAATTTATAGTTCATAAAAGATAGGGTGGAGAATGCATACATCATTTATAGTTTCTAAACACCATTTTCCCTCTGACACTACATTATATTTTCAGGTGCTTCAAGCTTTAGATGCCTCAAGAGGAGGGTTGCCAAACCACACCCCTACATCTGTGAAGAGACAATTCCACAAAAGAGCAAATTGCATTTTGAAGAAACATCCCATTCCACTTTATTAGATTCCAGCCTTTAATCCCAAGTTATATTGTGCTCTCTTAAGCCGTATGACTCTTCCACCACCCTCCCTGCCACTTCCTGGAAAACCAAAGTGAGACAAGGACGAGTCCTCCTGACTCCCTGTGCCAGGGCGCTGCTCTTAGAAATAAAGGACGTGGGATCTTGGAGCAGAGAACTTTGCTCTAGCACACAGGTTTGGAGGAAACCTCATAAATAACCAAGATGATGCTGGAATTTTACGGTCTTACATAATTCAGTAATTAGTAAAGCTTTAGCTTTAGAAAAGAAGTGAATTTTGACAAAGTGCAATGTCTGGAACTGCAGGCTTTTGGGGAGCAGCCAGGGAACTGCATGGCCTTCAGCCACCTCCTTTATGACAATTCCTTCTTTTATAGGACCAGCATCTCCTGGCCCAGATCCTGACTTAGCGCCTGTAAAAATTATGCTCACTTATCCCTTGGATCTCTTTTTCTAGTTAGAAAATTCAGTCCATTTCTTGATGATGTTTGCTGAAGGCACGAGATGAAGCTACAGCTTTAGCAAATACAGAAACAGAGTCCAGCCAGAAAAAAAAAATAGCAGAGAATCTGCAACCAGAAATCAGGTTTTATGCCTTTTTGCCCACTGTTATTACACAGAACACTGTAAAAAATGCCAAGTCCACTTTGCAATGTAAAAAGAGAATATTTTGCAGCAAATCTAAAAATTCTTATGTGTAAAAGGTTCTTTTTATTCAAAGAAAAACAGTCATTGGCTTAAAGAGAGAATCAGAACTTTGACGCTGTAATTTCGATAGGATATTAGAGGATTTTCCGACTAGGTTTTGCAAAATCCCTTTGAAGTGAAGCTTTGCTTCTGATCCTTGAATTATTACTCATTGGGAGTGTTGATATTGCCGTTTTCATGATAAGGAGCCACGTCACTGAGATCACAAAGTCCTTTCTCGGGGAGAAAGCAAAGGGTGCTGTTTTTCAAGTAAATCAAGAGAGATCAAGCTGGGTCAGCAGCACCGCCTACCCGCCTGTGCAGTCTGCTTCCCGAGTTTGATCGCTCCGTTGTTACCGTTTTCATGAGGGTCTAGGGGTGGAATCTGCCGACCTGAAAGACAGACACGAGGAGACACTGAATTCAATTTTATGGCCATAGTCACCGCACAGGCAGATACGGATGATTTAGTTTGCATAAGAATTACATCTGTGAGATTTCACCAGAAACAAACGTCTTTATGTACCTTGAATCCTTTGCTCGCTGGCCACTTACGAAAGAAGAAAGCACTAAATACAGCGAAATTAGGTTATACATATAAATTAAAAACAATCATCTTATTGAGAACCCTTGAAACAAAGAAATTCTCAGCTTTCTCCAAGTTCCACTGAAATGTGAGTGGTGCTAATTTAAGATCTTGACTCTCAAATCTTCGAGGCATTTAGTGCACTAGAGCTTTACAAAACACTGCAACTAACCACATGCTGCTGACACTTGGAAAAGAAAAACAAACGCGTTCTTTTCATTGAATCCCCTTGCCTTTTGCTTGTACCTCTGTGTTCCCAGATGACGCTTCGATTACTCGAGAAATTCTAATTCTGGACTTCTTAATCACCTTATTATGTAATTATTTCAAGTGTTTGGAAAGAATTTCAGCATCCCAGGAGCTCCAAAGATCTCCCCTGGAGCAGGAAGCATTTCTCCAAGCCATGCACACCTCTTCTGTGCTGCTGCATCTTCTGTCTAACTGGCTTCCTACTCATGGACAACATGTAATATAATTATAATTATCAAAGGAAAAGCAGGATTTTGCGGACCAGGCCTCTGTCAATGGCACAGGTCTGTTTTTTTCCATTCCTTTGTGTATTCTCTCTATCACCATCTTGCAGAGCTCACAGTCATGGTAACTTACTTTCTGATTACCTTGTGGATTTGCTAGAAATGTTTCCTGAAGCTGAATCTGCTTTCTGGGAACTGCTCTTGGTTTCACCATTACACATATCAAACACCAAGAGTTGAAATGTTTAACATTTGTTTGCTATGTGACACTTTCAGAGCACAAAATCACTGCTCCTGTGAAGAGCCTTTGATAATCCAACTAAATCTTGTAGTTCAGATTTCTCCCCATCCCTTGCTGTATTTAATCACAAATTTGTTGCTAAATGTTCTGCACGTTACTTATGTTAAAACCTGCTAATTACTGGCGGGCCCTTTCCTTCTTTTCTCTTTTTTTTGTGAGTTAAAGCACTGAGGAATAATCCACTCCAAATGAAATAAAACAGACAAACTTCATTTGCAAAACTCATCCCTAAATTACCTTTAATCAAACTGACCAAAATTTCATCTGTCGTATTCGTTCTTTTCTGAACAGACATTTTCAGTAGCAAAAGCATGCAGCTACTGGAACAGATAATATTGGGTGTTTGTATACCTGAGCAGGAGGGCAAAAATTGCTCACAGCACTAGGATAAAAATATGGTATTTAACCCGACACAATGAGCACTAGGTACCCTGAGGGCACTGGCATGTGCTTTCAATAAAAGGCTGCACTTTGGTTTAGGTCACTAGAATATGAACTTTACCCTCAGTAGAAACATTAAGTCTAAAGATAATGCAAGGGCCCTTGAAAAAAATGAAGGAAAAAAAAAAGAAAAAGAATAAAAACACAAAGCAGAATGGGTGGTTAAAGATGGGCACTACGTGCATCAATTCTGCCAGAGAGATCATTCAGAACCTTGTATTTATAAAAGCTGCTCCAAGAAGGTAAGACTGACGTTTTAGAGACATGGGGAGCAAACCTGCATTAGGTACCTTCCATTTTAAAAGATCTGGAACTGAACCAGCTAAAATAAAATCCTGTCCCTTTCTCTTACATCAACTGAAAACCACAACATACCCCTAAGTAAGCACTTTCTTGGCATTTGATTCTGCTAACAGTGAGCTTGGAGGAGGAGAGCATGTACAGGCAAACTAGCCTAAAGTCTATTTTAGAAGTCTATTTTAATGATTTATTGTTACCTCTATTTGTTTTTCATTCAGCACTTCAAAGTACTTAAGAGTTTTAAGTCTTTTCCAGAGCACTCTGATGAGTATGCACAGGAGCAGGCAGGCTTATCTTTGGCACAAAAATATTGCAGGCTTCAAGGTCAGAAAGCACTTTGTCCAATTCAGAACAGGACAGAGGACACAGTTAAGAATCACCCTGGTTTATTCCACTTCTCAAAGCAATAAATCCACACAGATAAAAACTACAAATAATAAAACAGAAAAAGGTCTCTAGACATAACATTTGCTGTTATTCTAGCTTTTGAACATAGGTACTGCCTTTTATTAACTGGTGCTGTTTTCTTTTGGATTTCCTCTTCATATTCATAGAACCACTATGGTTGGAAAACACCTTCAAGATCATCGAGTCCAACCATAAGCCCCTCAACACCACGCCTGTTAAACCATTGTCCTAAGTGCCTCATCTGCACGTTGCTTGGTCACTGCCAGGGACTCCACCACTTCCCTGGGCAGCCTCTTCCAAGGCTTTACCATTCTTTCCATGCAGAAATTCTTCCTAATATCTAACTTGAACCTCCCCTAGTGCAACCTGACGTCATTTCCTCTTGTCCTGTCTGTAGTTATTCCAGAGAAGAGATCAACCCCCCGCTCCCTACAGCCTCCTTTCAGGTAGTTGTACAGAGCAATAAGGTCTCCCTTGAACCTCCTCTTCTCCAGACTAAAGAGCCCAGCTCCCTCAGCTGCTTCTCCAGCTCCACTGCCCTCCTTTGGACACACTCCAGCACCTCCATGTCCTTCTGGCCTTTGGCCTTCTTGGCCACCTGGCCACAGAGCTGCCTCATGTCCAGCCGGCTGTCGACCAGCACCTCCAGAGCCTTTCCTGCCCCACAGCTCTCCAGCCGCTCTGCCCCCGGCCTGCAGCGCTGCTTGGGGGTGCTGGGACCCAAGTGCAGGACCCGGCCCTTGGCCTTGTTGAACCTCATCTGGCTGGGCTCAGCCCATCAATCCAGCCTGTCCAGACCCTTCTGCAGAGCCTTCCTACCCTCAAGCAGATCAACTCTTCCTCGCAGCTTGGTGTCATCTGCCAACTTGCTGAGGGTGCACTCAATCCCCTCATCCAGACTGTCGATAAAAATATTTAAAAAGACCGGCCCCAACCCTGACCCTGGGGAACTCCGCTCATGACCGGTGCATTTTCAGGTTTCCAAGATGTTCTTCAATAGGTGAGCATTCTCTCATCTATTCTTTCTCTTGCTACCACATTTGTCAAGCCATCAAGTTCAATCTTTTTAGTAACAGGACGTACCCCTGTTCAAGCAATTTTTATCAGCTGATACACAGCTGACAGCAGCACTCCTCTGAGAGCATAAAACTTGGTCTAACAACTTGGAATCAGACACACAGTAAATGATAGTGATTCTTCACTGATGGTCAGGGGAAATAATGTTATTTTTGAAAACTATATTTTCATTGCAGAGTAATGGATCTCAGTAATTAGAAAATAACATTCATAAATTTGTTTGGCTTTAGACATAAAAGAAAAATTTGGGCCAAATTTGTCTCTCCCTGGGCCTCCCTAGCAGCTAGACTCACAGGAGAAAGGTTTGAGAAAGTGGCAAAAGAATACTTAGCATCAGCAGTGTAGTGCTGAGCTTTCATCTACATTTGGTGCTCCCAAACCAGATCCATCACTATAACTGCATAAAAGCACTGCAATCATCTAATAATTCAGCCCTTGATAAATATAGCATCAATATTCCCAACATCAACGCAGTCTAGCTGGCACTGAGTCAGAATCAGAGGTCATTTGCTGAATTACTTTAAAACAGTATATACTGCCCCATTGGCCTACACAGTCTCTGTTCCAGAGCAATAAGAGATACCCACGTAGTGGATAACCTCCAGCATTGATATTTATTTCTGTTATTTCTTTCAGTTGAAGTCAGAGGAGAGCAGTAGTGCCCTGACATTCAGCACAGTAAATCCTCAGCTTAAGAAATAAATAGGTTAAGACAATTCATCTTCAAACCAAAGATTGCTCTGGTAAGATAAAGTCTTCTCAGAAGTTCCAGATTAAGTTCAAAGAAAGCTCTTCTGTTGTTTAACTGGAAAGAGAACAAAATAAAGTATCTTTCCCACACGTTACAGAGCAGGATGTCACTAGCCAGCTAACATTTTGGCTACAGAATACAAACAGCGTCTTTAGGATTCCAGATGAAATGGCCAATCACCCAGGGAAAAATAAACGTGCATACATTTATCTAAGAACTCAGACGCTTTATTGGTGAAATTGGGAACTTAAGGATATAATACTAAATCATTCTAATAGATGTCATAAAGTTCCACATGGCATCTACTGCTGGCATTTCTATGCAGTGAAGTCCACTGACTGTGATTTAAAATTAGATTTAACTGCATTCATTAAATATCTGATTATAAATTTGTTTCTACTTCACTAATGCTTAAAGTATTGTTCTCAGATTATTTTGTGCAACAATACTGCTTTATAAACATGCACATCCAAATATACTTGCAGAAGTCTTGGGGTCCTCTTTGACCTGCTTCTAGCAGGCACAGCATGGTGCGTAGTAAAGTAAATCAGCAGGGACTGCTCAAAGACAGGATTACAGAAATTGTCCAGGCTCTGCAGTGAAATATCCACATTAACAGGTGGGAAGCACTAAATCAATTGTATCTCCCCTTTCTGGCATGTCTGAATGGGGCTGAGGCAGCTCATAGTGAAGGTCAGAGCCTTCTCCAAATGCTTGGTAGGGATCCAACTGCTGCTATTGAATCGGAGACTTGTTAATGGAAAGAGATGAATCAGCACTCTGGGAGTTGGGGCTCAGAGTGCCAGGGACAAAGACATTGGGAAATAAGAGGGTGGGACAAGAGGTCAACAAAATGGGAGGCAGAATAATGGAGATTAGAGCAGGAAGCAAGAAGGACAACAGGCACTGGGCAACAGCTCTGCAGGAGGAACTTGGAAAGTAAAAAATCAGATTGAGCATGGCTTTGCTGCAGCACTGGGCTCCAGCTGCAAAGCCAAACTCATCTGGTCTTCTCCGAGTGCTCTCTCTGTTCCCATTCCAGTGTGGTACTCTAGA